AGCAGGATAAAGGCAGGTACAAGGCTATGAAGGGCTTTAAACATGAGGATGAGACATTGATCTGAAACAACTAACTATGCGGGGTGGCTCCATGGACATCCTCTTCCTCATTGATCAGCCTGAGAGCAAAAGACAAGGCTGAAGCATTTGTGAGTATCTTCAGCCGGAAGTGTTGAATTAATACCCCATCTTGGTCTCCTCCTGAGGATCCCAACATCACAAATGCCATTATTCAGCCTGACTCACTACATGTGATACCAAGAAAAGGCTAAGTGCACTGGATACAAAAAAAAACTACAGGCTGTGACAATATCCCATGTGTAACACTGAGGACTTGTGTGCCAGAGCTAGCCATGTCTCTAGCCAACTTCTAGATCAGTTGTTAATTTTAAATCTGAGATCAATAAATTTTTGTTCAGCAAAGTATTAGGGGATAATGGGCCAAAGACAGGTATATGGAGTTATGCCACAGATCAGCCATGATCTTATTGAATGGTGAAATAGGATCGAGGGACTAATGGCATACTCCTGTTCCCATGCGCCTGGATGTTCCAGTACAGCTACAACACTGACATCTACCCTACAAGGTGGAAAATTTCCTTTCATTGTATCTTCTGTCTTCAAAAATGGGTCAAATCCAATCCAACCAATTAGTATGTAATAGTCTACTCTCAATCAGGATGAAAGTGGTGGAAAGTATTTTCATCAGCACCACTAAGCAACGTTTATTCACCAATAGCCTGTTCATTAATGCTCAGTTTTGGTTCCACCATAGCCATTCAGATTTAGACCTCAGTATAGCCCTTGGCCAAATATGTATAATCGAGCTGAATTCCAAAGATGTGATGAGAGTGACTGCCCTTGACATGAAGGCAGCATTTGACTCAGGATGGGATCACGGAATCCCACGAAATTGAAATAAATATGAATGACGGGAAACTCTCCACTGACTGGAGACATGCCTGGCACAAAGGAAAATGATTCTCTTTATGAGAACCAGTTATTTGAGTCACAAGATACTACTGTCATTAGTTTCTCAGGGCAATGTCCTCTGTCCCACCAACTGCTTCATCAGTGACCTTCCCTCCATTATAACTAATGATTGCATGGTGTTTGGTTCTATTTGACAGTACAGTAGGAGGTGTGTCATACGGTCAAGATTAGTACAAAGAGACTATCAGGAAGGGGAAGGTGTTGAGAAATGTGGATTTAGAATGGGAGCAGGAGGGTGGCTGATGGGGAGCAATTATCTTCGGGGAAGGCAAAACAGGAAAACAGCAGAGACAGCTGAATAGATGGCCTCACTCTTTGATAAAGTAGTTCACACCCTCCTCCTGGTTATTGTTGGCTGTGGCAGAGCAGGGGGCAGGAGATATCAAGATAAACAATCAGGCATTAGTGAAGAAAGGATTATCTTTGCAAGACAGGATGATTCTGGAATACTGGATGGCCTTACCAAAGGAAAAAGGCTAAAACGTGCAAAAACAAAATCATACATTTTCTCCACTCAAATCTCTACCTCTTGAAGCTCATGGAATGAACATGAAAGATAGTAAAATTAATAGGGACAACATCATCAAAGGTGGGATGGACAAGGAGATAACCAATCCCAGGAAGAAAAATGGCATATGCAGTGCTAAACACTAGCAAGTTGGTTTTTAGAAAATTCAGTTGCAAGTTATTTCAGGATAGACACAGAAGGAAATGGTATTGTGAAGATGTGGATCTACAGGGATACAAGGAAATTCATTATAAGTGATCTTGATTTTGACAAAGACCAAGGCAGCAGAAAGGCCACTGGAGAGTGCAAGGTTTTGGCTATATGGAGATAATCAGGGGAGAATAAATAGAGGTGGTAGGAACTGCAGATGCTGGAGAAGGGTCTAGGCCCGAAACGTCAGCTCTCCTGCTCCTCTGATGCTGCTTGGCCTGCTGTGTTCATCCAGCTCTACACCTTGTTATCTCAGAATAAATAGAGGAACTGGTTTCAGGATTAAAGGAGGTCAGTGAATTCAGGGGAGGGAAAGTAAAGTATGATAAGAAGTAGATTGAAACCACTGAGAATGAAGAGTTAGTGTGGAATCATTAAGTGAAGATTAATTTTCTGTTTTGATCTAATGCAATTTGTGTACCAAAATTCTAGTACAGTTCAGACATTAAAGTACAGTAACTTAAAAGGCAAATCATTATTACCTTTAATGTTATTAGAGATTCTGAAAAGCCATGGGTAACTAAAAAGTTCCATTATGGAAATAAGAAGAATTTAACCCAAAGAAAATGTGTCTCTTCCCTGAATAGATGTTATCTCGATAATCCATTGTTTTTTCGGGAGCTTCCTCAAGTAATCGCTTATGTCGTTCTGTTTTATTGAATGCATAGGGAAATTTTAGTTTTGAGACCTGAAGCCTAGGATCATCACAGATCAACATATTACTCCTTTCCACCTGTGGCTGTTGGATTGGATCAAACATTTCCTTATTCTCTGAAGCATATGATGTAGGTATAGGTTGTGTATCGCCAGACGCAAAATTGAATTCTTTACCACATTCTGGATCTTTGGTCTCAACCCTATTTGGTGAAGGCGGTTTGCTCAGAGATATCTGGTCCTGTTTTGTTGTAAAACCAGCTAACTTACTCTGTGGCAAATCTACATAGCTGATGTCATGTTGCACTGACTTTCGTCTCTTCCAAAGGGGCTGAGCATTCTCAGAATCTGTTAATTTGCAAGCTTGGTCCACATTGATAACTGGAGTTGCCCAACAATCCATCATCCTTTCTTTCTGATGTTGGTTAAATGCAGAGGGTTTTTCAGAATTCTTCATTTGCTGAACTTTGTACCTTAACAAACGGATGTCATAATCAGGGCAGAAAGCACTCGATATAGCTGTTTGGCATCGCCTATTTTGCCAAGAAATCAGTTTATCTTCCCTACATATTTCTACCTCATCATTTGGTTTTGATTCAGTTTCACATACAGGCAATGGTGACTTGGCTTCGTGCACTTGTACACTTGGAGTCTGATAACCAATGGCATCATCTGTGGAAACCTTACTACTTTCTTTTTTCTTCAAAGGCCGCAATGGTGGATTCAGCAAAAAAGCCGGATGAGACTGTTCTTTCTGTTGGAAAATTTGAAATAAAGTAAGTCCGCAAAATAAAATAGCCAACACTTAGGCTGCTGGAAGCTAGTTCTTAATATCCATATCTATTGATTTAAATTACATCTCCTGCTCATTTCAAACAGACTGAAAGTTAGGCTTTTACATATCTGGATAGCAAAAATTAGTGGCTGGTTAAAATAAGGTAATACATGCTAAATCAATCATATATTCAACTCTATGTATGTGAAGAACTCTAAAACTGATTAATTTACTCAATGGATATCAATGAGGGACAAGTAAACCGCAGAAAACAATGCAATTAAACATCAACTCGTTTGTTTATGTTGGGAAACCATTAATCTCAAACCAGTGATCTGCAGGAAATCCCAAAGTGGGAATTGTGGAGGTGGGATTTAATGAATATGTAGATGAACCTCTGAGATATCCTTTGATGTCACTGTGACCTCAGTGGTCCTGTGATAGGAGTCTGTAAGAAGGTTCAGACTAGAATAGCATGGACATCTGCAACTTTGCCTTCATGTACATATTGTCAGCATTATTATCTAAAAGATTTTTGTCAGAAGTCTGCACCAGGCTTGAATGAAAACCCAAAAAACCCATTTTAAAACAGTAATCAACCTGAAATTTACAAAAGAAAAAATGGCAAGGTTACAGGGAGAGTGAGATTGTTTAGAGCTAATTTATTACGTTGGTAATAGGCTTGGCAGACTAGATTGGCCTTTTTCTATTTTTTTTCATCTTTTTCATCTTCTAGTTCCTGAGTGAATAAACTTACATCATTAGCTACTGGTTATTAAATCCCCTGCCTCTTTACTAACTCTATTACATTCCTTCATAATTTTAAAAGTTTAGTTGCAGTTTCCTTTAACTTCCTCTATTCCAAGTACAACATACCAAGTTTCTTTAGCCTCTTGAGTTAACTGAAGTCCCTTTTTCCTGATATTAATAAATCTTCTCTGCATTGTCCCCAAAGCCTCAAGTGTTTGCCCAGTATTGAATCCAATACTCCAGATGGGGCCTAACCAGTGTTTTACAAAGGCTTATCATTATCTCCTTGCTTCTGCACTGCCTCTGTTTATAAATCCCAGGAAACCATACGACATTTTAACAACCTTCTCAACATTGATTTGTATTTTATTCATGCATGGACGGGGGCTTTGCTGGGATAAGCCAGCATTTATTGTCTATTTCCACTCGGGAGAAAGTGGTGGTGAGCTGTCTACTTGAACTGCTGCAGTCCTATGGATATAGGAGACAAACAGTGCTGTTTGGAATTCCAGGACTTTGACCCAATGTCAGACAAGGAATGGTGATATAGTTCCAAGTTAGAACAGTGTGTGACATGAAAGGAACTTGCTTCTATGTATCTGCTGCCCTTGCCCTTCTAGTTGGTAGTTGTTGGGGTTTGGAAGACGCTATCAAAAATAGCCTCAGTGAGTTGTTACAGTGTATGTTGTGGATTGTACGTACTACTGCCACTCTGAGTCATTGCTGAAAGGACTGAATGTTGAAGGTGGTGGACAGATGCCAGTCAAGTGGATGCCTTGTACTGGATGGAGTCAAGCTTCTTGAGTGTTGTTGGAGCTGCACTCATTCATGCAAGTGGGGAGTATTTTATCACACTCTTAAATTGTGCCTTGTAGATAGTGGACAGGCTTTGGCAAGACAAGAGATGAATTACTTGTTGCCGAGTTCACAGTCTCTGGACCTCATCCAAGTCATTTATATAAACCATGAACAATGGTTTATACGCCCAAACACTGATCTTTGCAGTACCCCACTGCCTGCGACTCAGAGAAAGACCCATTTATTCCCATATTGTTTCCTGTCTGTTAGCTGATTATCAATCTATGCTAATATATAACCCCATCCCATGTGCTTTAACATTGCCCACAAACCTCTTACGTGAGACCTTATGAAAAGCCTTCTCCTAAAGCTCTGAATACATCACATCCTGGTTCTCCTTTATCTAGTCTACTAGATTCAACCTTAAAATTTTTCAGTAGATTTATTAAACCTTTCATAAACCCATGCTGGCTTTGTTCAATCCAGTTAATTCTTTCCAAATGTTCTGCTATCAGTCTTTTTTAACTTTTTCGTCAGCCCACTCATCCCAGATATCAATCTAGTCAACATCTCTGAATTGTCTCCAATGCATTTCCATCCTTCCTGGAATACAAAAAAAACCTTAAACTGCACACAGGAAAGGTGGAGGATGCCTCTTCATCCAACAGCTAATGTGGCTGCATTGGGGCCAATTAAGGGCCTTGTCTCATTGTCAGTGCCATTATAACCAGCAGCAGATGGGGCATCAACTTAATAGGTGGCCAAATGATGAACCACAACAGCCTCCCTACAGGCTGCGGGGTTGGGAGGGGGACTATGGAGGGCTTTTTAATTCAGGCTCCTTATGGCCTATGAAGGGGCTCCTGTCAGCAGCGACATCAGTCCAGCAACATCCTTACTGCCTTGACTCATTGCACCTACTCCTCACTGGGTCTGGCAAATGCAGACTCCACACACCTGGTTTCTTCCCCCACTACCCCCAAGCCACTGCTCATATCATGTAGCTAAGGGTTCCACACCGCTGAGATGTACTCTCCATAGTATTTCAAGCAACTGCACTATTCCCAGTGCTAGTGTAAAATTCAACCCGGTGAAAGGAGGCAATGTTCTCGAGAAGGAGCCAAGATCGTGTAGGTGAAGGGAGGTACTTCTGCTTCGATTTAGGGAAAATAAATCTTGGAGACTGTATGAACACAGATACGATGAGGCCTGGTGTTCTAAAGAAGCTACAAACAGTTTTGTCTTAAATTGGCTACAAGGGATTTCACATGATGGAACACCACTTAAAGAAATCTAAAAAAAATGACAACTTCCTAGGCAGGTTCAAACCTTACAATTTAAACAAATAGTTCAGCGTATGATTCAGCATTGTACTTTTAAGAGAAACTTCATGTCAATACGGTAACCCAGGTCGGTCCCTTGAAAATGTTACTAAAGAGACAGTACATTTGAGGCCTTTCCTGCAGTTAGGAGTGGAGATCCCAATTGATCCTCTGAAGGAGAATCTCTGGCTGCTTCAGATGATTATATGACGAAACTCACTGAAACATACTTGAACACTCTATGACGTCAGATATCACTGACGTATGTATTTGTTGCAAGGAAAATACCAAAGCACTTTCATATTCTAACATTTTTTTTTGTTTTTCTTTCTCTGGTAAATCTGCAATCATTTTGAGTACTATTTTAAAGCCATGCTCATTTTAACTTTACAAAAATGAGAAAAATAAACAAGGCCTTAAAATATAAGAACATTTTGAGTGAGCCACTAATTTGTTCTCTTGTAATTCAACATCAAAATTATAAAGCGTGTGTTGCAAAATGTAAAGGCTTAAACCTTATGAAAGTTTAAATCTCCTTCCACCACTTTTCAGGAGCATATTTCAAATTCACTAGATAGAAAATTTTCATGTAACCCCAGATATTTTGCGATTATCTTAAATCTGTATCCTTTGGGTATTGACCTCCTGGCAAATAGGGTTAAGGAGAATCTAAAGAGATTCTACAAATACATTAAGGACAGAAGGGTAACGAGGGAGAGAATAGGATCTCGTAAAGATCAGCAAGGTCACTTATGTGTGGAACCGCAATGAGCTGGGGGAGATACTAAACTAGTATTTTGCATCAGTGTTTACTGAGAAGGATATGGAAGATAGAGACATGGGGAAAATAAATAGTTATATCTTGAAAAACGTCCATATTACAGAGGAGGAGGTGCTGGATGCCTTGAAACGTATAAAGGTGGATAAATCTCTGGGGCCTGATCAAGTGTACCCTACAACTCTGTGGGAAGCTGGGGAAGTGATTGCTAGGCCCCTTGCTGAGATATTTATATCATTGATAGACATAGGTGAGGTGCCAGAAGACTTGAGGTTGGCGAACATGATGCCACTATTTAAGAAAGGTGGTAAGGAAAACCAGGCAACTTCACGTGCAACTTGTTGGAGGGAATCGTGAGGGACAGGATTTACATGAATTTGGAAAGGCAAGGATTGATTAAGGATAATCAACATGTGTGAGGGAAATCATGTCTTACCAACTTAATTGAGTTTTTTGAAGAAGTCATCAAGAGGATTGATGAGGGTAGAGCGGTTAATGTGATCTATATGGACTTCAGTATGGTGTTCAACAAGGTTCCTCATGGTAGGCTGATTAGCAACGTTAGATCACATGGAATACAGGGAAAACTAGCCATTTGGATACAGAACTGGCTCGAAGGTAGAAGACAAAGGGTGATGGTGGAGGGTTGCTTTTCAGACTGGAGGCTTGTGACCAGTGGTGTGCCACAAGGATGGGTGCTGGGTCCACTGCTTTTTGTCATTTATGTAAATGATTTGGATGTGAACATAGGAGGTATGATTAGTAAGTTTACAGATGACACCAAAGTTGGAGGTGTAGTGGACAGTGAAGAAGGTTACCTCAGAATAAGCGGGATCTTGATCAGATGGGCCAATGGGCCAAGGAGTGGCAGATGGATTTTAATTTAGATAAATGTGAGGTGCTGCATTTTGGAAAGGCAAATCAGGGCAGGACTTATACACTTAATGGTAAGGTCCTGGGGAGTGTTGCTGAACAAAGAGACCTTGGCATGCAAGTTCATAGTTCCTTGAAAGTAGTGTCGCAGGTAGATAGGATAGTGAAGAAGGCGTTTGGTATGTTTACTTTTATTGGTCAGTGCATTGAATAGTGGTTAGGTCACTTTTGGAATATTGTGTGCAATTCTGGTCTTCTTGCTATAGGAAGGATGTTGCGAAACTTGAAAGGGTTCAGAAAAGATTTACAAAGATATTGCCAGGGCTGGAGGTTTGAGCCATAGGGAGAGGCTGAATAGGCTGGGGCTATTTTCCCTGGAGCATCAGAGGCTGAGGAATGACCTTACAGAGGTTTATAAAATCATGAGGGGCATGGATAGGGTAAATATATAAGGTCTT